TGGTATCGTCACGTCATCTCGATCACTATCACTCGCACGCGGTATATCTATCTACGCATTAAATCGGTTCCAGTGTTAAGTAATTAAATTACAGATCTCAAATACCATAACCAAAAAAAAAAAAAAAAATGTTCTAAGTTATAAAGCGATTTTCTTAACAATTAAGTCGTAAAACTCGAAAGTCTCGCAAGCATCCTCGACTGTTCTGCCTTTTAATTAACGCACTCTTAATTAATCCTTATTCCGCCAAAGTTGCTAGAAAACGTACACAATGAACGCAAATTCGACAAAATAGATACGAGTTTACACTCCTCCCTGACTATGTAATTTTCACTGAGCACAATCCTTTATCAATTCCCGAGGGAAAAGAAATGGGAGCTGCTCTAGAGCGCGATTAAACCGAAACAAATAACGCGGCAACCATTATCAAGGCACAAAGCCAAATAGCATCTTTATATGGTAATTTATGACGAAATGGGAAATCATGATCCGTCACGCGAAGTTTTACTGCCTGTTCTTCATCGGTTCAATATATTCAAGGATATCGCAGAGAACAGAACGAATGTTCTCATTCCATCTTCGGCCATTGTATTTGCAGATAGAACAACGTTACGTTTCGAATACGATCCGATAAATCACGATCTATCGATACCACCAAGCGACGAAGACAAAGCTCAAAATGGAGAACGATTTTATCTACCCGATTCAATTTTGTCTCGCTTCTTTTATTTTTATTTTTATTTTTTCGCTCTTTAATTGCTGGTACTGCGTCGAGGATAACTTCAACGATATTAATTTACTTGGCTTTATACAGTTCGACGAACGAAGAAGAGCGTTTTCCTGTTTTGTTCGTCTAGGCCGCAGAAGCGACGAGTCGTGGTAATGGAAATAATGAAGAAACGAAGTAACGAAGACACGGTTGGGGTTTTGTGAAAGAATGCAAGGCGAATAGAACGAAGATCGGTTGCAACTGACAAGAGAGGAAGGAAAACTTTCTCGTTACATCGGGGCGGATAATTAACACGCGAAGTACAAACGCGTGGCTGGCAGCAACGCTATAATACTCCTATTATGAATCATCGATAAGCATCTTGACAGGAATCTTGGCTTAGAATTCAGCAGATACACCGAAGAACTTTAGAGAATTTCATCGGGAAGTGAACACCACCTAAAGTGGACTGTACGTGTGTCGATGTAATATAACAAATTTAATAAACAAAATAATGATTTCCGAAGAAGTTCATTATTTTTATACAAATTATATAAAATTTTTTAATTCTCCAATGAAATTTATATTTTATAACGATTCGTCATCGGGTGAGCAAATTATCGATGGACAATCCGAAATGCAATAATATATTAAATTCCCGAATTTTATTCCCTTTCAATGTATTTATAATTAAATTTTGAGCATACGGGTCTCGAGCGCCTGTAAACGAGCAACCAGTCGCGCGTGCCCCAAATTCGCGATCCAAAAGCTTCTTTACCAACAAGTGGAAAGTACCTGGAGATGGAAGATGCCTGGCACCAAAAAGAAAACTCTACCAAATCACAATAAATATAAGAAACAAATCATACATATCGTTCTATTACTACGAAACATTGAAGATTCTAAACTCCATATTTTATCGTATCATAAACATTTATTAAAACGAGTTTCTCACACAGCAGCCTTAGAAACCAGGTATCTTTATTTACCCGTGCAAAAAGCAAACGAAAAGAAAAGGAAACGAAGAAAAAGAAAAAGAATAAAATAAAAATTCTCACGTGTTCCTTTTTCCCTGTCATCGTGTCACACACGGTGAAAGGATTAAACTCGATAAAACCTACCAGAGAAACGGAACGCGATCGCCGGAGAAGCCAATCGATCGATCGATCGATCGCCGCGTATCAGAGCTACCGTTCCGCGTGTACTAAAATCCCCGGGGGAGATTTAACGTGGGATCGGTGGCGATATTTATTGAAAATTCGCGCGAATAAGGAGGCAGGGCCGCGTAACGAGCATTTACGGTGATACGAGCCGGCTGGATACCCGTGCACCGTATTAATCGTTAAAAATTGCCGCTCTATCTCGCGCCAGGATCGAAATGGTGGCGGCGCATGCGACCGTATTAACATACGACATTAGGTATTCCGCATGCGAAGCAAACCGCGCGAGCTTTGCTCGCATTTCTGCGGCAATTACACGCGCCTAATGGCCGCCCTTTGCCGGATAAATCGACGCACGGCGCGCGCGCCAAACCGCGCCACGAATTAACGCTATCCGAAGATAAGGGTTATGCGGATTAACGAGCAGCCCTGCGATATACCTCGCGTCACACCACCCGCGAAATTCGAGTCGACGCGTGATTTCTGGCCACGCGGGGTTCCGAGGATTTCGTGCGGAATTTATTGCTTTTCCAAGGGTACCGATTGTTATCGAAATGGTGGAATTGAAATTAGGGGTGAAGTATTTGAGAGGGGTTATTTTTGGGGTATAGAGATGCGAGGGATGTATAGCGATTTTTGAATGATGTATTGGTTACGATTTTCAGAAATTTCGTTAAGAGGATTTTATTGAGTTATAGATAGTAAAATTGAAATAAGGGATGGGGCATTTGAAAGGGGTCGTTTCTGGGATACCGACAAGACTGCGAGGAGGACGTGGAATGTTGTAAGTGGGGATAATTGAACTTTGTGGGGTCTGGATTTTATATGATTTTTTTTGGATTGGGGTTAATTATGATTTTTAGAGATTTTATTGAGTTATGAACGAGTGAAATCATCGAATGAATAGTTAAATAACGTAGTGAGGAATAAATATAATATCCACGATCGTAATTAAACTTGTGCAGTATAATATTCTACCTACTTCTCATAAGCTTCTCCATATATTAATATATAACACGAAAAATTAACGCTAATTACAATTTTCAATCATCAAACCACAGAAAGCTTAAAATCCGACTAATGTATTTATGGAAAAATTGCAGAAAATTATTCGAAGACACTTCGTAAATTTCCAGATGATTCAACTATCCTCTCCCCTGATCTATTAAATGATCATCGTTATCGAATAAGTAAATATCAAAAGAATTTGCATGAAATCGCAATTGAAGTGCCACGATACTCCACATTTCTCTCGAACCAGTCCGCAAAGCTCTCTAAACGCTCTCATAATAGCCTAAACGAGTACTTGATCGCGACTACATCTCGGTTAATTTGCTATTCAATTCTCAACGATGCGTTGAGATACGACGGAGAATCGGTTCCGTGGCCTGGACGCTGCTCTCACCTGCGATCATGCGTGCGAAAGTATGGCAATCGCGACAGGACATACGAGGGAGTCGTCGCGTTCCAGATTTCCGCGACGAACGAAGACGAGGAAATCGTGCTACCTGCCGAGAATCATGCTTGCGTGAACGTCAACTTCCTTCGATTAAGCCTCGCGGCGTAATAATAGCCGCACTTCGTTTACAATGCGCTGCTCGGCTCGAATAATCAAAATCGCATTAGATGCACGGTAGCGAAACGTTTCGGAGAAATGGGTCACAATTTGGTAATCTTCCTCGCGGATGTGAGTATGCGAAAATTTTGTTATTCCTTTTTTTCTAGGAGAACAGCCGTAAAAATGGAACGGAGATTTAAGAGAGAGAGAAAAAAAGCACACGGTGATGACTAATAGTCTTAAATTGGAGAACGGCCAAGCTTTGTATCCTCTTAATATCCATGATTATATGGAAATTAGGTTTTAATGGTTTTTGGAGCGTAAATGTGTAAGTATGGAAGAAAGACAAGATGCAGAGAAAGAAAGAAAAGGTAGAGCACGATGGTGGTCGTTTTGAATTGGATTATGGGCAAGATTTGTTTTTCCTTAATATCTATGACGATATGCAAATTGGATTCGACTGATTTTTTTGCACCAGAAGAAATAAAAAATGGAAAGAATTCGGTGGAGAGAGAAAAGAAAGAACACGAGGTTGAGTGGTCGGGTTGATTTAAAGTATAAATCAATTTTTTACTCTTTTCAATACCTGTGGGAATGTGGAAATTAAGTTCGAATGATTCTTTTGGGGCTTAAGGGTATAAATATAGAAAGAGCATAGGGTGGGAGAGGAAGAGAAAGAGAAAGTAAAGAGCACGATGGTGATCGTCCTGAATCGGAATAAGGACAAATTTTCTTTTCCGCATTTTTGTATTCGAGCAGATATCAAAATTATATTTTTACTGTACCCTCGATAAAATCACCAAAACACACCTAAACTTCCTACCCATCCTCAATTATCCAAAATAGACCAATTTTTTTACAATTTTGAATATTCTTTCCAATATCAAAATCGAATTTTTAAATGCTTCAGTGTTTCAATAATTCTCACGATACTAAAACAAACTTGAATCTCGAAATAACAACAAAATAATCTTATACACGTATCTCAAATACAAAACGATTTTTCTAGAACAACCTCGAACCAAAAATCTACCTACCTATCTCAAAAATACTTTTACATCTCAGAAAAACCGGCAAAATGTCACCTAAACACCCTATCAATCCTCTCAAAACAAATGCCGCGTTTATACAGGCTTAATCATTACACCATCTATGTCAATACGGTTATCAGACTCGACGACGCAAATTAAATTCAGCGACAAATTTCTAATACGCCACGCGCGAAATGGCCCAATGCTCCGGCTAATTACTCGCCGATCAGCGAAACAATATCCATCGCACGCGTGCAGTGTAACTGTGCGCTATCTTAAAAGCTATCTAATGGAACAGTTTCCACGGATCGCGATCAAATAGCGGTAGATCACCGCGCGATTAGAGGCGGGCTCGCGCGAGCACGGACCGCGCAATTTCCCGTACGTTATCCCGGCACTGGCGCGGCCACGTTTTTGCAAATGCAAAACGAGACGTACAAGTATAATACGGACGATGAGGTGCAGCGAAAGTAACCGAGCTATTATGCCGCGGAGTATATAAGGCTCAGTGTAGTCGGTTCAGTTAGTGGTTATACGCCACATCAAAACATACGCGAACTCGACGATGAATATCAAGGTAAGCGACTCTGCTTTCCGCGGGAATGCTTAGATCGAGGGAAGTAATCTGCCGGTGCTTGTCTCGGGTTGTAGAGTTTCACAAGTGGAAAACTGGTTTCACGATGGCCTGCGTTTCATCCATGCTTCCAACGAAGTAACGCAATTTTTCAATGATACTTCGAGCCAAATGTCGAGTCGTTCTTCCGCTTCCTTTTTCGTTATCCTTGCCATGATAAAGTTCCGTTCGAAAGATTATTCAACGATGACCTGCGCGAATTTTCATTGCCGCGAAATTAAGATTAAACACTTCCATGGTAGTTCAGAAGATGAGAATTTCGATCCAGAAAGTTGGCAAGTAAACTGGTCCCTTAAAATTGACTATTTTAATAACTTGTACCATTCATGGTGTATAATCCCTTCTACCCTAAAGCTGCAGTAGCGAAGGGACCAAGCTAAATAAATCGCATGCTCGTAAATCTTGGCCAAAATAAACACAGGCATACAAGCAAGCACACGTACATACCTTGCAAATTGGTTCATCAATCCTGACTTTCACCCGCAGTTTGCCATCGTCCTAGTGGCACTGGCCACGCAAGTGAGCTGCGCGGAGGAGGGCAAGGCAGCGGAGGAGAGCGCGTCGCCAAAGGACTCCGTGGCCGAGTCGACGGAGAAGAAGACGGAGAAACGAGGATTGCACGGCAGCTACGGCGACCTGGGTGGCGGTGGCGGCGGTGACCTGGGCGGAGGCGGCGGCTATGACCAACACGAGCACGTTAAGGCGGTGACGGTGGTGAAGAAGGTACCGGTCCCTTACGAGGTGACCAAGCACGTGCCTTACCTGGTCGAGAAACATGTCCCGTACGAAGTGAAGGTCGCCGTGCCTCAGCCGTATACGGTGGAGAAGCACGTCCCGTACCCGGTGAAGGTGTTCGTGAAGGTGCCGGTTCACGTGCCGCAGCCGTACACCGTGGAGAAGAAGGTGCCGTACGAAGTCAAGGTACCTGTGGACAAGCCGTACGAGGTAAAGGTGCTGGTGCCGCAGCCTTACACCGTGGAGAAGCACATACCGGTGCCGGTTAAGGTGGGTGTCCCGCAGCCGTACACGGTCGAGAAGCACGTGCCGTACCCAGTGAAGGTCAAAGTTCCGGTGCCACAGCCTTACGCGGTAGAGAAGCCGGTACCGTACGAGGTTAAGGTACCTGTGGACAAACCGTACCCGGTTCACGTACCTAAACCGTACCCCGTCACCGTCGATAAACCGTACCCTGTGCCGGTGGACAAGCCGGTGCCGTACGAGGTTAAGGTACCCGTGGACAAGCCGTACCCCGTGCCAGTAGAGAAACCATATCCTGTTCCGGTCAAGGTGCCCATCCCGCAACCGTACCCTGTACACAAGCCGATACCTGTCGCCGTCCCAAAGCCTGTGCCCTATCCGGTCAAAGTACCTGTCGACAAACCATATATCGTGGAGAAGGAAATACCTGTACCGGTAGAGAAGGAGGTGCCGGTGCCGGTGAAGATACATGTGCCAGTGCCGATACACGAAGGCCACGGCGGAGGCGGTGGTTACGAAGGTTTCTCTGGCTTCGGAGACGGTGGCGGATACTCACATCATCGTTGATTCCTCCGGTTGATCGAGACGGTTTCTTCGACATGTTAGGATCTTTAATATACGCGTTGCTGGATCTCTGGGCAATTGTCTCTTTCTCTCTCTCATTCTGCCTTGTCGAAAGTAAGAACCGAAGAAACGTCTTCGATAAAAAATAAACGTTTCAGTCGCCTTTTTGTATTCCTGTAGGTATCCTTTTTTACTCTTCTTTTTTTTTTTTTTTTTTTTTTTTTTTTTTTTTTTTTTCCTTTTTGGTTCTCTGGAAAGAATTGGAGGAGATATCGAGAGCGACCCTTTGTCTCGGGTTGTTGGACATGGTCGCGTGCATCTTCAGAGGGAGAGAACGTGGCAAAGTGTTTCTTGATTCTCGTAGTAGATAGTGCTTCTCTCAAGCGTAACGTGTCTTTCAGATTTTTATGTAACTTAAGAAGCTGCTCGTGTAACTGAATGATATTAGCGATTTCTTCGTGACAGCGTCCCATTTTGATAGAAGTAAATCTGCGCTGAAGCCCGTGTAATCGACATCCTTTCGATGGATTGTAACCTTCGAGTCGGAGAGATGGAATTCAAACGGGTGTAGATAGAAATTTTCTTTTCCTCGGATTTGCTCGATACTTTTTGGTGTTTATCGATTCAATTCCTGAGCTCCATCTCGTCGATTTGATAACGAATATTCATAGAGAACCAATACCTTGAATGCCCAAAGTCTAACAAAATAAATAACGCAAGGTTAAAAAATTAGGTGAATTCCTCGAAGATCTACATTCTAAAGACCTGAATTCGAAATGAAGAAAACGATGCGTATCTTTACACGATATTCTTTTTCTGCGGCGGAATTTTTGAAAAAAATCAACCTAATCACCGCTGAAGTATGTAAAAATCCCTTTAATTTTTTTTTTTTCTCTAAGCTGTTCCAAAGAAAACACTAACATCGGCGATTAAGCGAGCTTTACGAGCGTAAGTTAGCCGATGTGAAATAATCGTTGCAGTGAAATTACGATTTTGCTGCGACGAACCACACGTGTACCTAATTTAAGTTAAGATACCCGACTGAAATGGAGTGTCTTTTTGTATCAAAGATTTTTAATAAATACTCGTCTGTCATGTAACACGACCAAGTTTCATTTTCTTCCTAGTTACTTGTTTTTCTTGAATTCTACATGAGCCGTGAGTCTTCCGTTTCCTGCTGCAACATTATTACTTCTTTTTCTGCCTCGGTTAATGATTACCGGTCACGGTTCATAAAATTTAACGGGCGCGTTTTTAAACATTTTTCTTTCCTCCACGATTTTACATACAGCCTAATGTAACTATTTAGTACTCGTACAACATTATTATAGTGAGTTACAAGCGTGTTATGTCACAATTTACTTAAATATTATTAACTAATTTTTAATAGCTTGAGTAGAATCCAAAAATTAAGTTCCAACTAATTTTCCTGTTTCCACGTGTCTTCTTGTGCGTTTAATAAAATTCGAAATTTAACGAATATTATGTTAATATTTTTTAAATGATTTCTCTTCGAAAATACCAAAGAACAGCTTTCAAAGTATGTTGAAAGAAAAATCGTCGAATTATTTCCACATGGTGCAGATTATATTTTTTTTTTATAACAACAATGCTACCTTCTCCGTTCTTTTTCCACGATAAGTAAGATTTTCACGCGTTGCTCGTGAAAAGCGTTAAAAATTACGCGCGAACGCGCTAACGAGCCGACGCTTTCTCGATCCATGTCGGATCTGCCGGAAATCTCGTCCCCACAGCGAGTTTCACTTTTGCAAAATTTCCCTTTTCGCGCTACCGGCCCACACGGCCAACCAGACAAAGACAGTGAAAAAGAATCGACGGAAACGCAACAGAGATACACGGTACTACACGGACCACTCTTTTGTTCAACGAAAAACACGAAAAAATGATTTTATCAAACAATTATGTGACAATTGCATCTTACAGCGCAATATTATAACAGAAACGAATAATATTAATATCGATAATTCGTTAATTCTAAAGCGAAATTCCAAAAAGATCTTATTAATATTTAATCGTTATTCTTCGAATATTATTACAAAAATTAATTTCTCTTCGAATTGAAAAATTTGCCTTACGAAATCGAGGAGTATCTCTAAAAGTGTAGCGAAATTAATTCAAATCGTAAGTTCGATTTGAATATACAAGCGTGAGAAATATTGAGCACCGGTCGTAACATTTCAACCATATTCAGCGATAAGTGGTCAATTTCTGTGTTACTAACTATCTAACTGACATTAAAACAGTCACGACGCAGGTTGTTACGACGTCTCGAGAAATTTCTAACCACTGGATACGAAAAGATCAGCCACGTGGTGGGGGAAAAAAGAAGACGAACGATCGACGTTCGGAGGCTACTTCCGGGCGCACTTTCGATCCCAGGTAAATCTTAATCGTTTCATGGTGCAATTAAAGAGGCTCGTGTATACGTGCTCAAGAAAGCATTACTTTCTCCACGGCTGCTGCGCCGTATGGGCACACAGATGCATTCTTCTGGTCTCGATCCACGTGCGCATAAACGCCAGTCTAAAAACATCGCTGAGTTTCCTTCGAATTTGATTCCAGTCGTAATTTTCATACGGCATAAAGTTCCAGTTTTTTCTTATTTAGCAATTGTAAGCGTAATTGCTGGTGAATGGACGTTGTACGTGCCATTAATATTCAACTATGGTGATTCTTTGGTGAACCGAAGTAACTCGAGAGTCAGTGAACTCGCTTGTCTCTCCCTTATCTCTCCCGTTTCTCAAGTAATCGATACCTGATGTACAAACAGAAAATTGCGAATGTTATAAACAGAAAAATAAGTTTAAATGGTAAAAATCTAAAAGTCTCGTAATAAAAGATCATTTTTTGGAAGTCAATGTTTCCATTGGCATCGAGATTTACAGGCTTACTTAACACGGTGAAAGATATCTGATAGAAATGTAAATGAAATTGACCATCGATCCAGAAAGTTTTAATTCTTGCCGAATGAAATAGGGAAAAGAGGCAACGAAAGCATTGGTAACTGCGATTTAATTAACGCACGAACGTAAAGCGAGCAATAAATAATAGGTTGCTCTGATTCTCGGAATAACTAACGACGACGTCAGCGATTGTTTCTTCTTTTCGGTTATGTAAAAAGTTATGCTGGCCACTTTTGTGAAAGTGAAAAAAATCGCGACGATTCTACCATGCGTGAATTATAGCTGTACACGCTGCCATCGACTCCTTCCTGCATCGAGATCCCGCGTACTTCCGGTTTTCTATAGGCGCTTCGGTAATAGAGGAAAGTGCCTTCGTCTTTTTTTCCACTCGTTTTTCATCACTCCTTTCTTAGTTTCACATTTCGATCATTTGTGATCGAAGAAAAGCTTTATGTTTATACTTCTCTTCGTTTCACGACGAATGCGAGAAATGCATCGTCTCCGTTATTTCGTGTCAATTCAATTACTTCGAATGTCATAAAACAGACGAGACTTCGGAACAGTGTCATTAGAGCGGGTAATAGAAGTAATTTAAAGAATGAGGCTTTGTGCAACGTGTCTCGACATTGTTCGTGTTGTAAGTATTATATCATCGGGTATATGAATGCTCGATTATCTAGGTATTTCTTGTACATCGCTGTAATGGGCATTACATCATCGGTGCAATTATCTAAAATTGAAGATCTTGGTATCTTGCTCGTGTATATTACCGCCATTCTTCACATCTGAAGTACAAGAAGAGAAAATTTTATTAAAAATAGTAAAATAAATTTCGTATATCAAATTTTTAAATAGAACACATATCTATACATACATATTTCTCTCATAGCATCTGTATTCTTCAACCATCGCTGCCATCGCTGCAACGTATATAATCTGAAAATAAAAACAAGAAATTAAATACAAAGAAACGATATCTTTCAGAGTATCAATCTTCTATTACCAATTAATCTAACTTACTGTAAAACCTCATACGGATTAATTAAGGCGACCCAAAAAGAAGTGAAACGATTGCACCAATCACTCTTACATGCATCGCGTTATTCGAAATATCATTATAGAACGTCGACAATTTCTTTGCTTCGAAATTACGAGAAAAAGAAATTCGGAAGGACACGTCGTTTCGAGTCGAAGCACGTTCCTGGTTATTTTCGGATTTCATATTTATTTCAGAGTACCGTAGTTTCTCGACTGAATTGCAGTGAAAGCAAGAGCGTTATGAACCTCACTGCTTTCAGAGGAGAACGAACGACGAACCAACACGTTTAGATCGCGTTTATTGCGCGGCCACGAGGACAAATAAAATCTCTTGTCCTCCCTCGTTCGTAATTATCATTGCGAATTCCGTTCCGGCTCTCGGACACCGTTATATCGTGTCAGTTTCGATCGGCAGATAGGTAAAAACGTCTGGCGACTACCGGAAGAACACGTAGAAATATTACGAGTCCTGGATACCGGAAGCAGCCGTTTCAAGACGGTGGTTCGCTCTCACTCGGACAGGACTAGCTCGCGACTCGTTCCTGGAAACGTACACGAGCGAAATTTGTTCCTTTTTCTACCGGTGGATCGCATGGCCACGCTCGAATGCGGTTAATGAATCTTTCATGGGATGTTTGTTTAACCATATTGCGAGTTGCGAGATTTATTTTAGAGACATTAGAAAGTGTAATGGAAATTTAAGCGGTGGACTTCGAGACGACAAATGGATCGTTAATTGAGGAAAAGTGATTGTTCCGTTTCTCGTGTTGGAAGTTACGATGGCATTACAAGGATTCGGGTATGCGCATATCGTTTAGTTCCTGAGCTGAGAAGGTAATAGGAACTTGCAGGAATTTTCTACAAATGCACTACCACTTTAAGTGGCGACTGCCTCATACGCTGTACTTAAAGAAGACATTAAGCCAAACGAGTTTTAATTGAAACAAAGTATCGCTAATGAACATGCAACGTTTCCAAAATCTTTAAATATTGGCTATTATCGTATATCAAAAACATCATACGTTAAATTTCAAATTCCAAATTTTAAGATCCTATATTCAAATCCTATAAAGACTTACATCTCCACGATAACATATCTGACAATGAGTCGAAGAAGGATCTAGACCCAAGGAGGAGCAATAATCAAAGGCATTAAAAATAATAATCTGCAGTAATCTGCATTTTTCCTCGACACCTGACAAAGGTGTGAAGAAGCAAAACGCTATCCATTGTGATCGTCGAAATTGAAACAGGACAATGTTCGCCAAACTCCGTAGGCAGGAGCAGAAAGGGTGGTTGGAAGGAGGTGAACCGATGAAAGGAGAATATCCAGGAGTTTCCGTGACGGGGAGATCTGAATCGCGTAAATTCAGAGGCTGAAAGCCATTATCGAGTTTCCCCCACGGCATCCGTTCGTCCCCAGGCTTCGCAGGTTCGTTCGTTCGCAGAACCGAGGGTGGAGCCCCTTTTATCCAATGCCGCGGGTGTCGGGGGCGCGACTGTGAAGCGAAGGCAATTATCGTAGCGAAACTTGAACGCTGCCGGCTTCGAGGCTGGCCGACGACGAGACCCAACTCGGTGCGGGAGTGGAGTGTTTGGCGTCTGATACGACGGGTCAGGTCCCGGGGGATTCTCAGCGACTCAAACGGGACTATCCCGCCGTTCTCATCGCAGTTAATTACAGAGTCCTCCTCGTTCTCCTTCTACTCCATTTCCCTTAGCCGGTTCAGCCCTTCCACGCTCCGTTTCCCTTCACTCCTTCAGCATCCGTATCCCCATCCGGAAGCTTTCTCGAGATTCTTGGACGTTGACCTTTCGGTATCTTCCTTGTTTGGATTTCGTAGCATAATTGGAGTAGATGAGTGTTTAATCGGTTTTACATGGATCATGATAACTTGCAGAATAGATCTGAATACTTCTCAGATGGACATGACAGACGTTCTTGCAAAGTAGAATACAATCCCTGCAGATGAAATTTTCCATGATATTACTTTGTGCTATAAATTGTTATAGTAGAATGTATATGATTTATTAATCAGTTCTATTTAATCTTATTTCGAAGGGTTAAAGATAGAGGTCTGATCAGTACCTTCTTGCACGACTGCAGATTTTTGTTTCCTATGGCTGATGTGGTCTGTTATATTTCACTTTTAAAATGTATAAAATTTTCTTATGACACTATAAGTATTTACCAAAATACGATAAATCTAAAATTCTATACGAATTGGAACATTGTCTTAGAATAATTTCATTAACTTCTGCTGCTGTATCAAACCTTCTTGGAAAGAATAAAAGATTCTCTACTTAGGAAAATCAGATTATGCAACTTATGTAAAGTCTTTATACGAAGACTTTCTTCAAATTTCCAAGAAGTTAATAACAAAATAATAGTAATTCTCTCAAATTAGGAGATTAAACCGAAATTTGTACAAGTTACTAAATATTGAGTTGAGCAAGTTACTTAAATATCTTAGACAATTAAATTATGGTTTACATCATTAAATGTGCTCTCTTTGTTCAATGCGATAAATTTTCGATCATATTCATCAATGACAAAAAAGAAAGCCGAAATGTTCACGACAAAATGCAACACCTCGAATTGAGTTCACACAGGTGCATACATGTGCGCGCGCGCGCACGCGCGTGTAAGTGGCTTCAACAATCAGCGGACGACAGAGAATCCCCCATGGGAATCCGTGCGAGCGAATCGTAGCGGGATTGAACGCTTGAAATGGAATAATATCCAATAATCTGGCAGCTGAGAGAACGGGATAAAAAGGGACGTTTTATCGGAACATCGCAGTAACCGAGCGAGTTCCCGAACCATTTCCGGCTCGGCTCGCTTTCTGTCTGTCCCCCGGCAACCGGGCGAAATTAATTATTGATTTCGGATACAGGCATTCACAGGCCGGAGAGCTTTTAATCGAAAACGAACCATCCGTCCCATTCGTTTCCGTTCGACGCGAATCCAACAACGATCCACTCCAGGAATGTTCGTGTTACGCCATCATTGCGACTTGTCCTTTCAGAGAGATGACTACTTTGAAGATAAAATAAGAATACACGGAAGTGCACTTGATATTATCTTCCCTTTGTTTTATCTTCTTTTTTCCAACATCCTTTCCAATCTTATGTAATGTATCCATATAAATGATCTTGCTTTTTTAATCATCAGTTTCTTTATGCTATTTATAATACTCCTTAATTAACTATTGGTTTCTAAACGACTTATTGAAATTTAACGTATTATGAATCATATTTGAAACATGCTGTCTTAATCAAATTATGAGATAATATATTTGAATATTTTATGAAAATGTCCGAAATATTACAAATTGTATATTTGCTACTTTTAAGAGACGCACACGTATACTTACAACTATATAACCACTGCCGATTTCAAGGTTTAATCATTGATTTAAAAGGACGATGTATTATTACGCAGTTGATAATAAAAATTAGCAGGTGAAATTTTGATTAAATTTTTGGAAAATAATGTATATAACATTTTAAAACATTTCGAGAAATATCAATAAATGGAAACTAAATACAAATACGTTTTGCAATGTCGATAAAAATAAAAATCTAATGAAATCTATAGAAATATGTTACATGTTACCTTGTTAAGGATAGAAAAGCAATAGGATAAGGAGTACAAACACCAACATACAGGCTCCAATTTTTTTATCCATCAATGGATATGGATGGGAGAGGTGGAAGTGAACCAGAGATATTAGATCTGGACCTTAATGAGTCTTCTTTGGACAATGCCAAATTCTCAATTAACTATAGTAACAGATGAAAAAGGAAATTTGTATAAATTATTTTGTTAGATAAAAATAAGGAGATATATAATTTGAAACAATTAAACCACATAAACATAAAAATGATTAGGAAATAGTATTAAGGATAGCTTGATAGAACACTGAAGATATAATATACAATTTACTATTCCTATATCTGATTTAAAAAAGAAAGTAAAAATACAAAACCGTTCATTGTGTAGAAATTTCATATTTTTGAAATGAAAAATGTACGTGTAATTTATAGATATACAAATTTCGCACTTCTGTTCATAAATGTATGTATTCGTGTTAATAAAATGAACATATTTTGAATGCTCTAGGTTTTAAGCAATATCTTTAATCACCTCCTGTAATTCAGCTTTTGGAAACATATGAAACATTTTCTCAGGTGTCATTGTCATTACTTCTATATTATTATCACTCAATTTTTCTTCCATAACTTGTTTCAGTATAACCAAAGCTGCTTTTATTGCTTCTTTCAATGTCATAGACTGTAAGAATATTATAAACAATATTAAAATATTGCGTAAGTCATATAAGATCAAAAAATTTATGTAAAAATATTATTTGAAACAAATATTTTACCTTATGATAAACTTCTTGGAGATTTTGTTGTGCACCTTCGCTTCCAGATCCAATTGCCTTAGCATCAAATTGTACACAAGTTCCAGAAGGATCCATATGATACAATTGAGGTCCTTTTACATCGATACCAGCTATTAACATTGCTACACCAAATGGTCTTGACATATCACAATCATCATCGTCACTATCTCCAAATTTAATAGCTAAATTAGCTACAGCCTGTGCTGTTGACTCCACAGACATCTTTTCATTGTAAATAAACCAATGATTTTGACATTCTACTCTAGCACGATCAATCATAGTCCTAGAATCAGCTATTAAACCTGATGCAGCGCATGCGATATGCTTATCAATTTCTACAATTTTTTCTACAGCTGTGGGTTCCATTAAACCAGAAGTAATACGTTTCTCCACAACTAATACAACACCCTCAGATGTTGCAATACCAATGGCAGTGGAACCAAGTTTTATAGCTTCTATAGCATATTCAACTTGGAATAACCTCCCTTCTGGAGAGAAGGTATTAACACCATGATCGTATTCAGAACGTGTCAGAAACATCTAGGAATAGAAATATGTATGTTATTAAAATTGACATTTTAATAAAATATTTCAAAACGAGTATACTTTTATTTGCGTCAAAATTTTGAGGTTATGACTCCATATATTTAATATCAATACATTTAGTACTCTTTTAATAATTCTATACACAAATAGTACGTTTCAAATATAATTACAAATTTTATTCCTTAATAGATACAATAATATCTATAATTAGAAAAAGTAAAAATAATATGAGGTTAATTTGGAATGACATGGCAAAACCAATGAAATCATCATACAGTAACAGAAACATAGAAAATTTCAATTCCATTTAAAGTTAATCATTTTATAAGAATTAAAAGTATTTACCTTCAAGATAATTGTATTACTTTAATAAAAATTATTTAAGAATAGATTTAAGCCGACTATCACAAACGCTAGTCACGGAGAGACTTGAATTTAATGGCGGGGATAAATACAGAAACGTACCTTTAATTTTCTGCGCCCTGAGGTTAGAACTGACTTTATTACTAACTTCAGAGTATAGAAATATTTTGAAAACCACCTAAATAAAAAATGATTGAAATGATCAAAATTGATAGTGTCTATTATTGAATTATGCATCCATGATGAGAAAGAAATAATATATTAAAAATATATTAGATTTTAAAAACATTAATAATGTTTGATTTGATATAACGTTAACCAATCAACGAGCTCTTCAATATTAGTCAATTTATATTTAAATATTTCAAGCAGCATTAGTTTTCTTCAGAATTACGTGTATCATCGATCATTAAAAATATGCTCTATTATTTTTGTACGCATTTAATTTTATTATAGTACATATACAATTTTTAATTTATACTTTTATTTACCACTGGCTGCCTATTTAAAAATGGCTCCTACTAACATATTTACTAAGGTTATTGTATAAAATATATGTATATATAAAAGAAAAAAATACGTGTAATTATTTCTGATAAAATAAATAACGTTACAAATTATATCAACGCAATGAATACCATAGATATTAATTTATTATCAAAACTGAAGTCTGCTTTTACTGAAGAAAATTGGAATGAATTATTAAATCTTCTTAACCCAAAAATATTTAGAAATTTTGAAACAGAGTATGATTTCAAAAATAAGATATAAAATAAATTAATATTATATAGTTAATATAGAAAGCCCTTATATTTCAGGAAACTAATTGCATTTCCAGTATTAGCAAAAGTTGCACAGATTCTTGCAACAGAAGATTCTGTTCCAAATAATATAAGAATCGCTTGTTTAAAATGTATAGGAAATTCTTGTTTCAACAGTTATTTACATAAAAAATATGATCCAATTAATATCGAGAAGGGAAAATACAGTTACAAATTATACTCTATTTTAGGAAATAATGAAAATTTAAAAGAAATGGATAGTTCTTATCCATTTGATTCCCATTTTCCTTATGAGGGAGTAATAGAATGGACAACAAATTTTATTACATCCTGTAAATTAGATAGTCAATTAGAAGATGAAAATATAGAAATATTAAGATTAAGTATTCAGTTTTTATGTAACTTATTTACATTTGCATATAGAAGTAGCAATTTCCCAGATCAGTGTATTGCACCAGCATATTTATATGATGTTAATTTAAAAAATGCAATAATGTAAGTATTATATATATTATATTAATAGAATTATATAAGATTTGTGTATTATGAAATTTTTATTTCATTGTAGAAGTATTATGCATTCTGAACATATTCCACTTGTTAGAGCCTCATGTGCATTTATACACAATGCTTTAAAGGAATTTAAAGGAGAATCCTTTTTAGAAGAAGAGAAAAGATATCTATGTTTACAGTTATTAAAACCAATTAAAGAAGGTTTTCAAAGTGCAAAGGAAGCTCTGATGCTTTTATTGTCTGAAAAAAATATAGTAAAAAATATATATGAGGATATGACTACCGAAAATAAATTGTGTTTCTTAGAAATAATTTATAGTGAACTCTCAGACCCAATATATAAGTTTAAAGAGGAATATATGCTTACAAAGGATGCAATTGAATTTTTAATTGAAAGATTTTGTAGAAAAAGTGATCTAATTTTAAAAACAATGGACACATACTTAGATAAATTAGAGCCTACAGAAATTGTTATACTTCTTGACATTCTTGGAACTTTAACTTCAAGATCTTGTGAAGAGTATAGTTTCTTAAAGGATTATAAAAGTCTACTTCTTAACTGTACTTGTAAGTCATTTTTCTGTAATATATCTGCTTTAGAGAACAAACATGTTTAATGATACATTTTTCATAGATTTATTGAAATCTATTCAAATGATTGGAAAACAATCGAACAATTATTTTACTCCATTACAAAAATTGAGTGAAATAGCTATAACAATGCAAGGAATAACAGACAATGAACCAGGAACACGTTCAAATGATAGTGAAACTAAAACAGTTGAACAGAAATTGAGTTCAGCAATGGATGATATACAAGGTCATCCTGCATTTGGTGTTAAAGCTAGTTTAATTAGAATTATTGGAAATATGTCATACAAAAATAAAGAATATCAAGATCTTGTAAGTATAAATTTTTTGTTCTATTTGTAAAGTATAGTTTGTATAAGAATACATTCAAACTAGAATTAATTCCACATATTCTGCACAAAACTATTATTTGAATTGTTATTAACAATGTTAAATAACAGTATCCTAAATTATCCTATGTCGGTAATGCGAACAGTGTTGAATCTTATTCTGTTTCTGGAAAGTGGCGCTCGGAAACCTCGTACGGTAGTAATTACAACTATATAACATACTATATCGAATAAACCACTAAAGCCCCATATAATATCAAACAAAAAACATCAGAATTCTTTTCAATTTGTCATCGATCTAATAATTTTTACAACGGTCCCTTTCCTCCACTATGTTTCAAGATCCAACCGCGATCGTTCATTTATCATGTGCACCCGCGTACTAAGACTTTTTGTGCTATAGATCATCCTCTGACACACGAAACGAAAAATAAAGGCATTGAAGGGCAAGGTAGAGTGTAGGTGAATATTACAAACCTTAAGTCCGAAACATCTCTCCGGTTGCTCGGTTTTTATTTATCTCCTTTATACGTACACAAGCTTTCGAGTGATCATTATTGCTTCTTATTGATTTCATCTCTGGCGTGCGAGAGATGATGCACAAAAGAAACGAGAACGGATCCTGCGTGGCGCGCACTGTTCACCGAACAAAGGAAAATTAAGTATCCTGTCCGAGTCGAAGACGCAGCAATTTAGCCAGCATCGGATACCGCGTTAATATATTAGCAAGATCGAAGCCATGGCCGCTCTTCTGCTACGTTCAAATTATTTTATCGGTGCGCATGCGCTTGATACAGGAGCGTGAATACGCAAGGTCTCGTTTCCTTTCTTTTTCCTCCTCTTTTATTATACGTTTCTTCTTTATCCTTACCCTTTCTCTATCTGTTTCATCGGTTGAGTAGTGGAAGGTGTCGAAGGCGATCGTGTTCTTAAATTTCGTTCTATAAACATGCGTACTTCGGTACTTCGATCCTTCTTGAGCAATTGTAAAATGTGTATATCCTCGTTGCGATTGCTCGTAAAATTATGCGACGCACTCTCGCGTTATGTTGTTGATATACAATCCGGTGGTGACCGTTTTGCTGAAACGTGTGGTTCGTAATGAAAAGTTTGTGTGTGTTTCGAGCCTGTTTACGATAGCCATCACGAGAGCTTCTTGAGTAGTGGATATCGCATTTAAAAAATTTCTCACGAAGACCTTCTGTCAGGTTCAATTTCCATCGCGCGATGATTCGTATGATGGTGTGGTGTATGGACTTAGGTACTCGTCGATAAAATGTATCGTCATTTCGACATGCGATTCAATTACGTTCCATTCGATTTTCAATGGCAGTTCATTTTTCACGACCGAGAGTCCATGAACGCTGGCTGTGGCCTGTAATGTATCGAGCCGTGCAAAAATAATATTTTTATGGCTGCACGAATGGCGAATGCGATAAATCAGAGTCCACGCCGTTGCTATAAAAATAAATTAACGTCCGTGATGCTGCGACGATGTAATACCTTTTGGGTAGCTTCACTGATCCTTTTAAAGCGGTTACAGAGGCTTCGTTATATTCGATTTTAAATAAAATTTCAATTTTTTTGTTCATATTAAAAGATTTTCAATTTTTTAATTTCAAATCCAAATAGAAATAAAAATTAAACTTAAACAGATTATGATTAAAGTAGTACTTTCTATCATTTCGCGATTCGTATTTTTCTTTACTTACATAACAGTATAATTATTTAGAAAAAATAAAGTTTTAGAGAGGGTGATTTGCATATCTGGAACAAATCATGTTTCTTTTCTGATTGCACTTCGAAACAATTACTAACAGAAAAAAGTTAATGATTGAAACTACTTTTGATTGGAATAAAAAAAAACGACATGATTTGTTCCAGACGTATGAGACACCCTGTATAAAGCAATAAAACAGTACCACAGGCAAAATCCAGAGTGCGTGTAGGTCAGACGTGATCCAGTCTTTGTTGTCTGACGGACAAAATACGAAGAAAACTTCGATTATCGTTACGTTCCGTTTAAAAGGTGAAACTAATAAAGACAACCAAGTCGGATAATCTTCTGGCCTACCATCTTACCTAGTACTTATCTTTAGATATAATACCACTTCTCTCAACAATTTAACCTCGCTTATCCCCAATAAGTTGTCCTTTTTATAGAAAGAAGTGACGTCCGCCATGCATACATATATATATACATACATATACTTTATCCTTCGCGACGATTCACAACTTCACGCGGCGTCTTACAGTTTTATGCAGGATGTCATAAGCAAAGATCCACGCACATAAGATGTACCTTCGTGTTCTCAATGACTTTGAACGTTTTCAGCTTCGTGAATTGGACGTCATACCTCTGCTTCTGGACTGCTGCAATATAGACGCGAGGAATCTGCGTAAGTAATCCGAACTCGGTCTCTTTTAACCTGACCGTTCGTTTATTGTGATTCGCACGAACCCTCGATGATATTCTGGCACACTAATTAATGCGCGTGTTAAATTTTACACCCGCAGTTATAATGCAATGGACGATCCTCGCGCTGCGGAATTTATGCGAGGATAATCCGGCGAATCAAGAGATCATTCGGAATTGCAGCAGAGTCGGTGTCGTGGAGAGCAGCGTGCTGCAGGAAATGGGTATCAGTCTGCACGAGGACGAGCAAGGAAAGAAGATTGGAATCGTGCCCTTGCCGCGTGAACGAAAATAGCCTTGTTTGACGAAGGTTTTTCTTTAAATGGAACTTTCTTTGGAAGCTTTTCGTTTGATCACAGGGTCAAAATTAATCTGTTCACAAAGAGGAAGATGATGATAGAGAGTAAACGTCGATTTTGGCATTTTCAAGTATGAGCTGACCTTGTATTGCTTACGAATTTGGCACATTGTACATCTTTTATATTTTTTTATTTAAAAATTTAACACTCTTGTAACATGATAGATACCAGGATTAATTGTGCTCTTGGTAGACTCGGTAGACAGAGTATCCTAATTTAAAAGCAACCACTGTATCAATGAGTTTATGGTAATACATTTATTTGAATCTATTTTACTTAATGATGCTTTATAAACCAGTACATAAGACACCCACCTTTATACATCCTCAGATCAAAGACAGTCCTGATTCACACCAGCATATCGGTCACACATCACAACAAAGCTCCATAATTCTTGATTCCTTCTACTAACACTTGTGTTGCAAAGATTTTGGATGAGCCTTAGTGGATGGTATAGGTAGGTTAAGAACTTTTGTACCGCCATTAAATTTTAACATGTCTCTACTAAATGTACATATAATTTGCAAACGGTTTATAAGTTATTACTTATGCTAATAACGCTAATAAACAGATATTGCCCACTCTTTATTTTCAGAGTTCAAAGGGAACATGGAAAATTTTCAAGAGATAGGAAATATCATAAACTTTGTGCGTAGCTCTTAGCTTGGTATCGTTTTCCAAAAATTATTCTTTGGAAAACGATACCAATTACCAGGTCTCACCACGTGGAGGTGGCTACGCATCGAGACCCGACATGCGCCCTAGTGGCGCAGCCTGCTGGTGCTACCTGTATCAAAGGTACCCTAATCTAACTTGGAGCGAATTAAGTTAAAATGACTCTACTGACACTTTATTATATTTCGTGTCTTACAAAAGGGGTTTCGGTTCGGTAAATTGAAATTCTACTGTCGCAACGCTAAGATATTTTCAAGTTCCCATAAAAATAGGGAATGAAATATCAAACACGCGAGCTAATAGAAAATCGCGTCACGCCCGAACGAGTTCGCGATTATTCGGAAGACCGACTAGCCTAGGCGATGTACTCCCGTGTACAGAGATAACTTCATACCTCGGCACCCTCCCGATCGGGCCTAGCTCAATTCCAGTCACTGTCGCACTCGCCAAGACTTACACGTGGACCAAGGATAGTCCCTGAACCAATGAAACTTCTAGTGTCAACGCGAGGGCCCTGCTGGGCGGTTGCCGGCCAAGACAGACACTTCGCATCCCAGCCACACGGGGTAGAACTTAATCATCCCTGTGGTCTAACCGTAGATGGTACTAGTCCGTCAGCCAGCATGTGCCCGAGCCCAAGTCGCGTACGACTTAGGCAGCGGACCGCCCAGTCGAGGTCAGAAGACGCACTGATCCGAGGGGGTCACCCTGGAACCCGATGCATGACGAGATTGACAGTGACTGGAAATGAGTGTCGGAGACGAGTCGTGAGGATGACTTACGAAGCATGTACTTATCGAGTACACGAGAGCACGTCGCGTAGGCTAGTCGGTACTTACGAACGATCGCGATTATCGCGAGAACAATTATGTTCTATTTGCTAAACGAGGGGGATAAGAAAATGATAGAGAATTTATAAATTTCGCTGCAAGTTAGGTAGCTTACCTTTGTGCAGATAGCGCGCACATGATACTTAGTCTATGGATCTATCTTACAATTACTTAAAAGTAAACGCACGCATCGTCCATTGATGTCTCGCAAATGAAGTCTTCAGAATCCTAAAAGCTAAAACAGAATATATTATTGTTAATATGTAGCTGAAAGGAAAGGGATTAGTACGAGGAAACCATCAAGGTTAGTAACCAAATGGAACGACCAAGCCAACGACGAGACCTGAGGAACATAACTACGAGACAGAACAGTCCAACGGTGAGATATAAACATACCAACGAGGAAGCGCTCGAGTATTATACGAAATACTCGAACGCTCTAACGAAAACAAATCGAACGGAAGTCGTAAAATTTGTGAAAGGAAAGATTTAGCCAACGATGAGACATAAGTAAACCAACGACGAAGCATTCGAATATTGTACGAAATACTCGAATGCTGAAACAAAGACAAAAAGAACGAAAGAAATAAAATCTGGAAGAAGAAAAATAATTAGAACCTGAAAGAAGAAATTATTGCTAAATTATTTAAGAGAGTGGACAATGGCCACTGAATAGCCATTGATCTAGCCAACGATGAAACACAAATAAACCAACGACGAAGCATTCGAATATTGTACAAAATAGTCGAATGCACAAACAATGATAATTAGAATAAAAGAAATAGAATCTGAAAGAACAAAGATAATTAAAACCTGAAACAACAAATAATTAGTACCTGAAAGAAGAAATTATTGTTATATTATTTAAGAGAGTGGACAATGGCCACTGAATAGCCATTGATCTAGCCAACGATGATATACAAATAAACCAACGACGAAGCATTCGAATATTGTACAAAATACTCGAATGCACAAACAATGAAATCTAGAATAAAAGAAATAAAATCTGAAAAAAGAAAGATAATTAAAACCTGAAACAAACAGAAAGAATATTAACGCGAACCTTTCGAAGTCAAACCGAGAACTGGCTCGAGCCTGCACGCGGGCCCCTTATATAGCGGCGGCCGGCCGAAGGTGGGCGAAAATTTCCGAGCTTTACCGATTCCGTTAAAAGTTACTTTTTCGCTGTAATAACTAATAATTTATTAACTTTTTTCTACTTTTATCGTTAATATACTTTGCAAATTATTTGTCATCATTGATTTTAATTTTTTATTAACAATAAACTTATTAATTTATTAACTTTTTGTAAGTTACGAATACATTCTAACAAAAATACGTCGTTTGTTTAAGTAGTAGCTAATAATTTATTAACTTTTTTGACTTTTATCGTTAATATACGTTACAAACTATTTGATATCAACAATTTTAATTTGCTATTAACAATAAATTTATTACTTTATTAGCTTTTTGTATGTTACGAATACATTTCAATACAAATACGTTGCATCTTTAAGGAGTAGCTAATAATTTATTAACTTTCACTAACTACACACGTACCATAAAAGTACAAGCAAAAACCAGCAATTTAACATTTTTCTCTCTTATTACAAAACATACCTTGTGAAGAAACTGTTATTAAAAATATTAATTTGTAGCGAGCCGTAAATAATAATAACTGATAATAATTTGAATCAAGAATATAAATTACCCTGACTACAACATAATGTGCGTTATCGTCCCTTTTATAGATGTCGCGATTATATAGTAAAGCTCAGAACAAGAACCAGATATTAATATGATTATAGTAGATTAATAAATACCTCATAATTAAGACAACCGCCATTTTATTGTCCAGGAAATAGAAAAAAATTTTATAAGATACATTCGAAATCTAGGATAGCGAAACCAGAATAATTAAACATGTAGTACGATCCGACGATACACATTTCCGTCACTATTATTGCAAAACGAGCACTGCATTTCGAAAAAAAAAACAATTGATTCTATTAGAGCAAATTCTGTGCTATAGAATTAGGTCAAAAACTTCTTATCAGCTGTCCCTATTTTGCTAAAGTAAGCCCCGACGGGGAACTACGCAGTGGCCTGTCACACACACCCGCACTTCCGGCACTATTTCACGAAAACGCGTAGGAAAATTCGGAAAAAAACCATTGATTCTATTAGGGCAAATCCTGTGCTATCGAACTAGGTCAAACACTTCTTATCAGCTGTCCCTATTTCGCTAAGGTAGGCCCCGACGGGAAACTAGCCAGTGGCCTGTCACACACACCCGCACTTCCGGCACTATTTCACGAAAACGCGTAAGAAAATTCGGAAAAAAAGAAGTGATTCTATTAGAGCAAATTCTGTGCTATCGAATTAGGTCAAAAACTTCTTATCAGCTGTCCCTATTTCGCTAAGGTAAGCCCCGACGGGAAACTACGCAGTGGCCTGTCACACACACTCGCACTTCCGGCACTATTTCACGAAAACGCGTAGGAAAATTCGGAAAAAAACCATTGATTCTATTAGGGCAAATCCTGTGCTATCGAACTAGGTCAAACACTTCTTATCAGCTGTCCCTATTTCGCTAAGGTAAGCCCCGACGGGAAACTAGGCAGTGGCCTGTCACACACACCCGCACTTCCGGCACTATTTCACGAAAACGCGTAGGAAAATTCGGAAAAAAACAATTGATTCTATTAGGGCAAATCCTGTGCTATCGAACTAGGTCAAACACTTCTTATCAGCTGTCCCTATTTCGCTAAGGTAGGCCCCGACGGGAAACTAGCCAGTGGCCTGTCACACACACCCGCACTTCCGGCACTATTTCACGAAAACGCGTAAGAAAATTCGGAAAAAAACAAGTGATTCTATTAGAGCAAATTCTGTGCTATCGAATTAGGTCAAAAACTTCTTATCAGCTGTCCCTATTTCGCTAAGGTAAGCCCCGACGGGAAACTACGCAGTGGCCTGTCACACACACTCGCACTTCCGGCACTATTTCACGAAAACGCGTAGGAAAATTCGGAAAAAAACCATTGATTCTATTAGGGCAAATCCTGTGCTATCGAACTAGGTCAAACACTTCTTATCAGCTGTCCCTATTTCGCTAAGGTAGGCCCCGACGGGAAACTACGCAGTGGCCTGTCACACACACCCGCACTTCCGGCACTATTTCACGAAAACGCGTAGGAAAATTCGGAAAAAAACCATTGATTCTATTAGGGCAAATCCTGTGCTATCGAACTAGGTCAAACACTTCTTATCAGCTGTCCCTATTTCGCTAAGGTAGGCCCCGACGGGAAACTACGCAGTGGCCTGTCACACACACTCGCACTTCCGGCACTATTTCACGAAAACGCGTAGGAAAATTCGGAAAAAAACCATTGATTCTATTAGGGCAAATCCTGTGCTATCGAACTAGG